ACACACACACACACACACACACACACACACACACACACAAATCACTTTCTTGACCCTTCACTGTTCCTCACTATTGAATGAATACCAGATCAGTATCATCAGGGAGCATAAATCAGGTTTGGCAGGTGTTACGACCCGCTCGTTTAAGGTTGTTATGTTAAATAAATATTTTCGTTTGGCATTTGGATTCACGTGTCCTCTTTATGCTGCATTCCCCTTTCTTTTTTCTGCTGAAACTTAGCAGGGGTTTGTAACACTAGGTAAATCTGGGTATCATCAGCATAGCTGTGATAGGCAATTTGGTTCTTTCTCATTATTTGACTTAGTGGGAGCATATACAGGCTAAACAAGAGCGGTGCAAGAATTGAGCCTTGTGGGACTCCGCATGTCATAGACATCCACTTAGACTTATGCTCTCCTATACTCACATAATACCCCAGACCACCCCTTTTAAGCGGACTCGGGTACAGTTCGCGAGTGCGCACCCGAGTTCGGAAGACAGCGAGCACATCATTCGAACGTACTGAACTCTTGATGTCAATCGAACCCGGGTGCACACCAAAAGTGCTAGAGTGAAAGCACCCTATACCTCCCACTGGTGGTTTGACGAAATCAGAGTTCTTAACTTTTTTTTCTTTTTTTTTGCAGTTCTGCCTGGTATTTTTTATAATGCAATATGCAGTTGTCATGTAAATACATGCATGCCACTTTTAAACAGCATTAACTTGTCTATGTAAATAAACATGCCTCTGTTTCTGTTTCACCTTTGATTTTATTTTATTGATTTTATTGGTAACTAAATTGATTGATTTGAAGTAACTGATTCAATTTAAGTATCTGACATAAAAGACAACACAGATAAATTTAATAAAATAATCATAAAAACTGCCCTTACAAAAGGTAAAAAAATATTGATCCTTAATAAAAAAAAGTAAATTTTTGACCCTGCTCTGGAGTCTTTATTTATTTGGAAAAAAAAAACAAAACAAAACTGGCACTGTTGAGTTTACTTAGGATCTGTTTATAGAGCGGTATTTCATATGAACTTTCCTTTAAATTTCTTTTAAATGTACTTATAAATGTCATTTATTTATTTATTTATTTATTTATTTTTAATGAGAGTAGTAGGACACAGCCTCCAGAATGAATTTCCATGAGAAGGAGAATCAGGACACTGACTTTAAAATGAGTTCTCCATCTGCTGGCTCAAGCTGTGATCAACCCATAAACTCTGCCTTTTCTGCCTTTAGTGATGCATCAGTGACCTCTGACCCCAGGTAAGACAATTGCTATTTTTACACGCTTTAATATATAATATATAAATGGAGATTGACTGAATCCTTTGATTGATGTCAAAAGCCTAAAGAATCCCGAAACCACATCTCCAGAACCAAGCTATGTTTCTATGAAGAGTCATGTATCCTTACTTAAGCCTCCGGATCTCAGCTTTGGAGCAGTGACCTCTGACCTGAGGAAAGACAAAACACTGATACTTAATATCTCACAAAAAAACATAAATCGAGATTGGCTGAATGCTTTTATTAAAGGGGACATCAGATGCCCATTTTCCACAGGTTGATATGATTCTTTTGGACAACTTTAAAGGCGATTTTCTCAATATTTTGATTTTTTTGCACCCTCAGATTCCAGATTTTCAAATAGTTTTCTCGGCCAAATATTGTCCTATCCTAACAAACCATACATCAATGGAAAGCTTATTTATTCAGCTTTCAGATGCTGTATAAATCTCAATTTCGAAAAATTGACCCTTATGACTGGTTTTGTGGTCCAGGGTCACATTTGGTCTGGATAAATGTGTCTTCTAAATAAATAAACGTAAAAGTATAGTGCATTCAAGCTATACATTAAGACAGGAATCAGCGGTTGAGATCAGAAATTGACAGCAAACAGCAGACAAGACTAATATGCTGTTTTGTCCATTGTCACTATCAGCAGGTGGAAGAGGCAGAGTCTCCATGTCACTATCAGCAGGTGGAAGAGGCTGAGATCAGAGTCTCCAGAACCCAGTGGTGTGTCTGTGAAGAGTAATACATCTATGATGAATCCCCCTGCACTCCGTGAGGCAACAGTGACCTCTGACCTCAGGTAAGACACTTGCCATTTTTACACTTGCCAGATGCTTTTTTTTTTAATTGACTTGCACTGAATTCCAGAAGCCTGCAGTCGGTGGGTGAACAGTACCTCATATAGTAGCATCACAGAGAGGCACAAAAATCACTTTCTTGAACCTGCTCTTTCTGAATCTCGGAACTGTAATTTGGTCTGGATAAATGTGTCTTCTAAATAAATAAATGTAAAAGTATAGTGCATTCAAGCTATACATTAAGACAGGAATCAGTGGTTAAGATCAGAAATTGACAGCAAACAGCAGACAAGACTAATATGCTGTTTTGTCCATTGCCACTATCAGCAGGTGGAAGAGGCTGAGATCAGAGTCTCCAGAACCCAGTGGTGTGTCTGTGAAGGGTAATGCATCTATGATGAATCCCCCTGCACTCCGTGAGGCAACAGTGACCTCTGACCCCAGGTATGACACTAGATGTTTTTTTGCATTGATCAGATTATTTTATACAAACGGCTTATTGTGCATTCCAGCAACCTACACACACACACACACACACACACACACACACACACACAAATCACTTTCTTGACCCTTCACTGTTCCTCACTATTGAATGAATACCAGATCAGTATCAT